AAATGCCCATGCCATTAATTGATTTTAAAATAATTATATTTCAATTAATTATGAGTGAGAAAGGACAAAATTGAAAAAAATGCAATTAATTATTCATTAGAATAGTGAAATGACAAATAATTTGAAATATGAAAAATTGGCCAAAGTGACAAATATTAGGGGAAGGAGGAAGTATATACATAATAATTGTATAAAGTACTTATGAACCACACGTGTGGATAGTTGATGATAAATAATAGTAATATATATGAAGGACGCATTGATTTGTTGTATTCCAATACCGACATCTATGCATGAACAATTGAACATGCTCATCGGGATTCGATGCTAACAACTTGCCTGAAATGGGGTAATGAATGAATCAATCAAGATAAGGTATTACTTATTATGACACCACACATGGATAGTTGATGAGAAATTAATGGGCATAATAAATAATAGGGCCACTAAAACAAATCCCAAAATTTCCTTAGTTCAATACTACCAAGTTTAAAATCACAATTCAGTATATATTTATAATTTTTTTCTTATTTTAATACCATAAATAAATTAAAAGTACAAAAATATCCTTTCTTACAAAATATCGATTATATCAAAAGATTTTGAAATTTCTTATTTTAAAACCAATTAAAAGAACGAAAAAAAAAACCTCCCCCACTTTGAACCCACCGGCGCCGCCTCCTCCACCATCCCTCACCGGCGAGATTCAATCTATCCTCACGCCTCGCCACCGCCGCCGTCGCCGAGGACGCCCGTAGGCCAACAAACCGCCGCTACCGCCGTCGTTATTCCAAGTAAGAATTAGTTTCGATTTTTTTCCCCCGTAAATATTGAGTTAGGATTTGATTGTTTGATATGGGTATTTAGGATTTGAAATGTTTTAGGTAAGAATGATCGTTATTTAGTAATGGGTGCATCTAATTTCAGTTGATTTGAAATTTCGTGGGTTGTTATTCGTTTCACAAAAATCGACCTGAAAGTGTCGATTATGTCAATATTTTCGACATATTACCGTCGAAAATTATGCATAAGTCGACACCTTCTAGTCGATTTTTGCTTATTGTCAAAATTTATTGAAGTACTATTTCGACAGAAACCTGTCGAAAATTATGGCAAAATCGACAAGTTACTTTCGAATTTTCCAACATTTTCGAGAAGTTGCTGTCGAAAATGAACTGTTATTATTTTATTTTTATTTTTTTTCTTTCCAATTTTTTTTTTTTTTATATTATGTATATTTATTTATTTGTGTGTTATTTTTTGGTTTTTACAGTGGAAGAACCACGTGAACCTCATAGACCCCCGACTATCTCGAACCGTAAGACGAGGAAGGAATTATCTGATAAGGGCAAGAGCAAGACAACCACTACCAAGAAAAAGACCACGACCAAGACTAAGAGCAATCTGTCTGCGCCGGTGCAACGTACAATTACAAAGTCTGGAGAAGGTTCTTCCTCAACGAATCCGGTGCCTGCTCTACCTCTCCCATCACCTATAGAAGTTGGTGATTTGAGCAACGAACCGGTCCGAGGTCCTGAGATATTGGAATTGTACACAAACTTCGATAAGCATATTGTTTATCATATTGTGAACGGAGGTCCAGAGCGCTTGGAGCGCGGCGCCGAATTTCGATTTCGAATCACACACATACATTGAATGGCTGGGCGCCGGCGCCATTTATTATGGAGGTCGTACACAGAGCTCGATTAACGTCAGTTGTACGCGCCTCATACAATACTGTGGACGACCATCTACTTAGAGCCTTCATAGAGAGATGGCAGCGAGCTACCAATACATTTCATTTACCTGTTGGAGAGATGACCATCACACTTGATGATGTGAGCACATTGGTCGGTTTGCCAATTGTTGGGCGTATTGTATCTTCCGAACGTTTAACCCGTGATTCCAAAACGCAGGCCAGTAATTTGATGCTCAAATTGCTAGGTGAGTACCCGGAAGATGTGGATAAGAGGAAAGCGGTGAAGCTGAAATGGTTGAAGGCCAAAGTTAACTGTTAGATTTTTTTTTTTTTATAATTTGCATTTTATTTTTATTTTTTAGTCCAAAAACACTTAGAATATGTTTTTTATGTTACATTGAAATAGATTTTGAGTTAATTTCACTAAAAAGATAAAAAATTCAAATTATCAAAAAAAAAAAAAATCTAATAGTTTTTTTCTGACACCTAACTGTCGAAAGTTAACTGTTATTTTTTTAGATAATTTGAAATTTTAATTTTTTTATTTCAAAAACACTTGGAATATGTTTTTTATGTTACATTGAGTTAATTTAGAGTCCAAAAAAATAATTAAAAAAATAAAAAAAATTAAATAAAACACAAGACATAATAACATTGAAATTTACATAATTTTGGGGTCCCCTATAACTTTACATAGTTTTGTTCGGAGAACTATCACCATTATCTGATATAGTAATAATCTCGAAACTCTCTCACATGGCAACATTTTGACCTATTAATTCTCGGAATGTTGTAATCCGACCATCCATGTCTGCAGGCTTCCAACCGGCCATCAGCTTTAGGATCATGGCATCGGTACCAAAAATCGGCGATAGGAGGTATTGGACAATTGTTGTTCAAGACAACATGCACGAAGTGACAGTTGTCTACGGATGCCATTCCGTGCTCCTGTCTCTCTCTAAAAAGCATTGGATCGCTCGATAGAGGAAGGAACGTGAGACACTGATACTTGGATAAGTAGACAAGCACGGTATTGTATGTTGAAGCAATTACATGACCCATATTTGGAAAAGACATCCAATGGTCACGCGTGGTAGGAACATCCCAGTTACTCACAACGGTTTTCATGGTTCTAACGGTTTCTTCGCCATGGTGCATGTCCGTGTAAATGGAAAAAATAGCAGTCAACTGCCCGAAATCCACAGTGGCCATCTAAACCGACATTGATGATTTCTCGAACATGCATACGAAATCGTGGATGGATCGTCTCAATATACTTATTCTTGCCGATCAAACCTGGTGGGAATCCTACATCTAACTCTTCAACCAATGGTTTCAACGACTCTTGCGTCAGTATAGTGCTTTTCCCTAACTCTTGAGTCGGTATAGCGCTAACAGACTCATTCGAGGGCACTCTAAATCTTTTCAGTACAGGTTTCTTGAATGGATTCACAAGTATAAGCTGCAGTATATTAACCAGAATTACTTAACACAATTATAAAATGCATCAACAATAATGAAATGAGACAATAATAGCGACATTTACTTTTGGAGAACAATTAGCTTGCTTCGATTTTTTTCTTTGGCTCCAAATACACAAAATGTGATTTTTCACGAGTGCTTGATTTGTCTTTCTTATTTTTTGACGGTCGACCTTCGCTAACAACTTTTTCACTTGGCACCGTAAGGTTAGTCTTCTCTGGGTGGGTAAAATGTCTCAAATGGTTGCGCAATTGATTTTTTGCATCGAGATCGCCAGATTGAAAGAGCTTCTGGTATTCTGATAATTCTTCGTCGATGGTTGGTAGAATGACTTCGTCTGTGGTTGCGACGGGCTCCATGCTCATGTGTTGCCAGTAAGAGCCAATTAACTCAAGTGGGATAGGATATTTGTTCACAACAACATGCTCATGAAGCTCATGGCAACATGGTAGACCGTGGGTTGTTCGGATGGCGCAACTACAACCCATATCATTCGGTTGCAACAGTCTCGACTTGTCCACCTCAACTTTCAGTTGTTGCAGAGCGAATTTTGAGATACTTTCACGGAGCTCATTGTATATCGACGTTTTGAAAGTGTGTTGGTAAGTATTTTTACTTACTTCAAAAGAAGCTTTGATATTATTGTGTTGTTCGAGAATTTGGTTGTGGACTTTCGTATGCAAATCCACAAAGGTGTCAGTTGAATTACGTACATCCCTTTTCATTCGTCCGTGTGCCCCCTCCACCTACTAGAAGTGTACGTTCCAAAATGAGTACACTTATTTGTCCACACCGATGCAAGTCTCTCCTTGTAGGGATCCAACCAGGAATCAGCTATGTATGCTATAGCCGCCGGATAATAGGCTTAAATGCAGTTTATTCTTAATAAATAAATAAAAAATACAGTTTACACTCCTAAAGTATACAATCTATAACACTTACCCCTAAAGTATCATTTGTAACACTTACCCATCAAGCTTAATTTAATTTGTATTTTGAATCATAATACATTAAAAATTTCTTTTTTATTTAAAGAAATAACAAAATTATGCAAATAAAAATATATACTGAAAAATGCAATTTTAAAAAAATTAAAAATATTATCTTGTATTGAGTACATATTTAATAAATAACACCTAATTGTTATTGGAACAAGTAACCAAATATATTCATATCCATAAATTTTAAGAAATCAATGCATAACTAATAGTAATCTTAAGTATTCAAATATATTTTATATTTTAGTTCACTAATTTCATAAATTATATTTCCAGTCATTATTATACAATATATATATATATATTACTTTTTACTTGTTTTCAATAATTTAATTTTTAGTTACTTCTCATTTGTTTATGATCCAACAATTATTAGATTGTTATGTTTATTAGTGTTTAAATTTTAAAATATAAAATAATTGATGTTGAGGGGTAAGTGTTACAAATAATACTTTAGGGGTAAGTGTTGCGTAGGTTATACTTTAGAGGTGCAAAGTGTATTTTAAACCCTAAATAATATATGAAGCCCCATTTATTTTTTGTATACCGACATATATACATGCTCATATAAGGATTTGATGATAATATATGAATATTTTCCTGAAATTAGAGTAATAAATCAAGATAAGGTGGACTTTGAACTCAAATAAAGACGTTTCTTCAGCAACCAACCAATTCTTTGGGCCTACTGCAATTATATCTTAAACTCTCATCTAATAATATATATATATATTCTAATAATGTGTTTAATTTAGTTTTGTCTATAAATAAAGAAGCCGACACGAACACATTCCTCATTCAGTTATCAGTCTATTAGAAGAATGGGTTCAAAAGCAATAGTTTTTCTGGTACTTTTCTTGGCTATGGTTGTAATTTTCATATCATCAGAAGTTGCAGCTAGGGATCTCGCCCAGACTTCCACTACCGTTGACACTTGTAAGTATCGTATTGTTCGAAATATATTTCTAATTACCAATTAATTACTAAAAATATTTACTCGAAATTTTTAAGGTACATGCAACATTTCATTACGTTATGTAGCGAGAAAATATTTGGAGCAAATATTAAAAGTTCAAATTTTATTTTGAAACGTAGAGAAAACTTTAGAACAACCCGAGTATTATTGAATTATATATATATATATATATATATATATATATATATATATATATATATATATATATATATATATATATATATATATATATATATATATATATATATATATATATATATATGTCACGTGTCTTACTAATTGTGTAATTATCTCTCTACACTCTAAGTCGATGTTTTTCCCAATTTTGTCAATATTATCCTCAAATACATTTATTTTCGCTAGCAAATTAAATAATAGTTTCCCAAAGTGAAATCTTTATGGTAAAGTAAGCTGTTTTTTTTTTGTTTTTTTTTTCGGAGAGGTAAAAATTAAAACAGTTTAGAAAATTTATGATAGTTTTATTTATTTACCGAGGGAGAGTAGAATGGTTCGGTTTTTAAACGAGAACATGCAATCAACTTGTTGCATGATATTCTATTTTTCTTTTATTTGAAATATCAAACTTATAAGTTACCAAAACAAAAAGAAATGATTAACTAATGAAACTCTGCTTAATTATATTGTGTGGGGCTTTAATTTAACTCAGCTGAGAAGACAAATGGAGCTGCAGTGAACGATGCCAAATATGGTGGTAACTACGGTGGTGGATACCCCGGAGGAGGCGGTAATTACGGTGGTGGATACCCCGGAGGAGGCGGTAACTATGGTGGTGGATATCCCGGAGGAGGTGGTAATTATGGTGGTGGATACCCCGGAGGAGGTGGTAACTATGGTGGCGGTGGACGTGGTGGTAATTATGGAGGAGGTCGTGGTGGTTATGGGGGCGGCCGTGGTAACTACTGCCGATATGGTTGCTGTGGGCGGAACTACTACAGAGGTGGTTGCCAATGTTGTAGCTTCGCCGGTCAGAAGGTGGATGCTCAGCCTCAAGCCAAGCCTCAAAACTGACAAATTTAATTTTGTCAGCAGAAAGATATATATATATATGGTTTTTAAATTACAGTACGTACTACTATGTGGGGCAGTGTGAGATAAAAAAGAAAATCATATAATGAATAAAAATGCAAGCATGCATACCCCGGAGCATGCATGCATATAAAAGTGTGAGTGCGAGCGTGTAATTTAGCTTTTACCTTTTCTTCAAATTAAATTGAACTCTCATCAATGTACGTATGTATACTAGTGTTGCTGTTGAATATTGGAGAGGTTGTGAATTGCTTTTTTTTTAGCAATATATATATACATCATTTCTCTTTATTATAATAAATGTGTACACCAATTGTTTTCCTGTAACTTCCAAGCACCGATACTGTAGTAAATTTTGGACACAATCATCATAATTATATCTAAAAGAGTACATGAATTTTCATTATTAAGTAGGAAAATGGACTCGTACGTAAGCGTCAGAATGTCGAACCCACGTGGAACAAGAATATGTTCTATTTCTAATTATCTAAATCATCATATCTAAGGAATGGGGGGATAACGCAAACAAAATACTAAATACGAGAATATCTATGACTTCATCTTCTTACTCTATGCTTCACTTAAATCCCTAATTAAGTTCACAATTACACCAGTTTATTGGCTGAAACACTCAAATGTCACTACCAGCTGACGTGTGTGTATTGTGACTTAATATACACAATCAACTACAATATGTCCATGGCCGATGATTATTCATAAAGCATTTGTTCCTAACTTGCAATTGTTATCCACGGTATGCCAATTCAGGAGTAGAAATATGGTTTTTTACTACGACCATTAACTGTAGCAAAAGGTATTAAATTCGGAAGGTTTTTTATCCGAATTTGCCCCATAGCATATACAGGCGTGACAAAAAAAAATAAAAATAAAAACAAAAAGAGAGAATATTTTTGCTTATTTTGATTGCAAAAATCGGCCAACACATTGTTATGGAATAAGTGATTTTTCTCTTGCACCAAGTAGGGATGAACATAAACCCGCCAAACTAATAAGTTTTCATTTTGCATTACTTTTGCTTATCGAATCTTTGTGTTTGGTCTTCATTCGTCCAAATCTTCGGCTTTATTTGTATATATTATGTTGTTTTTGTTTTACTTCAGTTTTAGTTAAAGAGAAGCTATTTTACCGATTCGAAATATTTTGGAAGCGAACCGAGAATCAAACACAACACGTGCAAAAGTGCATTCTCGCGGGTTGTGGCAGTGTTCGATATTTGACGCATAACTCTCTCATATGACCTCCTATTGAGCTGATTCAAGTGGCGTTAGAAAACCAACTGCGAGGACTAAAGCATTTGTGAAACATATTTTTGTCAAATTTGGGCTGCAAAAGAGGAAAAACAGTGTTTGAAGTTAATGCATAGGCCAAATTGCGATCCATTCCGTCCTTATCGCGGTTTGGAACCACTTACGGAAGGTTTTTTATGAAGAGCCAGATCGCGATCCAGCATTCGTGTATCGAGATATGGGGGTCTCACAAAAACGTTTTTTATCAAGACCCAGATCGCGATCCATCATTCCCGTATAGCGATCTGGCATGGCAATGCACAATTTTCGAGGCAAGATATTTATGTTTTACAGACCCACTATAAATGGAAAAAGCCTTCTTCTTCAAAAGGGGCTTATCAATTTTTTCGACTTCTTAAACTCTGCTTCGGTTTTCTCTTCGGATTTCGCCAGTTCTTCACACGAAGCTTTGACAAGGGTTTCAACTCGGGTTTTTCATATGATTTTTCTTTATATTTAGTTTATGATTTCTTGTGCTCTTCATTTTGATGCTATGTTTGTAATGAACTGAGCATTTTGTTTTAGGGAAATGAAACCTTGTATATATTGATTTTGATTTTCAGATTTGTGATTTATTTGTTGTTCTATTATTTTGTTTATGTTTTCTTGTATTAAATGCTTTCAATTTGTTTGGTTAAAAATTGCATTGAATGTAAATGGGAATGAACTCGAGAGAGGAATTCTTGTTTGATTTTAGGAAAATGTAGCTTGAGTTGTGGAAATAGAGACGTGATGCACCTCGGGTAGCCTTAAGGACTTAACCTAAATGCTCTCTTAATATCATGTTCTAAACGGAGACGTCAGACCTGTGGGTAGTCTATAACTACACTGGAGACGGACGTTATGGTATTTTTGTATCTGGGTTAGCGAATATAGAATTAACATTAGATTCGAATTTTACCCTATAAGCCATCACACGTCAGAATTCCTCGCTTGTACTGGCGGACCGTTGTTTTTATTAGTATTTCTTTTTAGCTTCATCGATCCTCCATATTTTTTATTGTCTTGATAAAGTTTAGGATAGTACAATTACGGTACTTGATAAATTTGTGAACTTAATTCCCTGTCGTTCGATAATTGTAATACACTATTCTACAAAACGTAATACTGAACACTTGCAGTTATTCATACGTGGATTTTACGCGTATCACAAACCCGACCCGCCAATCCGACCTGCCCGACCCGCCAGTTTAACAATTTTAATTATTGGTGACTGTTTTAAAATGATCTAACCCGAGTGGTACGGGTCGAATATCGGGTTTGAATGCCAAAACCCGCTCCACACCCGACTCGCTCGCCTTCTATATATAAATTAATTTTAGTAGGTTTAGGGTTGAATCAGTTCACCTTTTTCATTTGCCGTCAATTGCTATTCCGAGTTCTCGTCATTCCTTAAATAGAGATCAATTATCCCCCATCTCTTTTCTTCATTTGAACAACTCATGAGATGTGATTAAATAAAAATATTTACCACCACCCACCACAATCGATGTTGTAATCCTCACCACTAAAGAGTCTCCACCATAAGCATGGTTGACCGGAACATCGCGGTACACTCTCGCTGACACTATTTTTCCAGTTCCATTGCAGTGTTGCGGCAATGTTGCGGTTGGAACGGGCAAATTTTAATTAAAATGTAAAAAAATAAAATTAATGATAATATTACACTAGTATAATATACAAACTGTCATTAAAACTCTATTTTTAATTTTAGAACATTTTTTAAAACCTTGAGAAGTGTAAAAATGCAACAATGTAAAAAATCTGAATTAATGGTGAAACTGTAAGTTATGAAAATATATATTTACCTTCAAATAAATAAAAAAATAATTATGACTAGATTGCAAATTTTGAAAACTTAGAAAACCTAATCATAGTTTTCCCCAGTCGTTCCTTACTTCCTTTTGCCTAAGATCAAATTACATTTAAAGTATTTTGGAGCTAATTGTAAGTTTTTTAAAACATCTATCTAAAAGTTAAACCCTAATTTGACATCGTTAAGCCACCGTTGGAGAGTAGGAGAAGTAAATTAGTTGGTTCATGGATTTCTAATCCCGTTCCGGTACCCGTGACAACCGGCCCGTGACAGCCGCGACAGTCTGATTTATGACAGTGTCCGGGCGTTCTGGCCGATTTTTGCCCGTCTCCCGACATTGCAATCCTGGAATAGTTTTGTTACGGAACCCGGAAAGGGGAGGGCCCTTCCCGTTCCGTTCCAATCGTTCCGGCTAAAAGATTTCTTAAGTTGGGTTTTTCCACTTTTCATTGATGTATATGTGAGTATATATACATGAGGATTGATTCAATGGGAATCAATTAAGTGATTACAATCACGGTAGATCAGCATAAAATATACAGTGCAAGGCGTGATTTAAGGTAATTGTGTATATAAGGAAAAACTAATTAAGGAGGATGATTTGCATAATTAGGAACGTGATATATTCTCCATATGCCCCCGCAAGATGGCGATTCGGTCCGAAACGCCAATCTTGGAACGAAGCCCTTCAAAGGCTGGTGCATGAAGTGGCTTTGTCAGCAAGTCGGCCAATTGATCTTTGGATGAGACATGAGGCACCCGCAGCTTCCCAGCTTGAACAAGTTTCCGAACAAAGTGAAATGCCACCTCAATATGCTTCATGCGCGAGTGAAAAACTGGATTGGCGCAAAGGTATGTTGTGCCAAGATTGACACAATAGATGACTGGTTGAGTGGCAAGAGAGATTGATAGCTCACTGAGAAGACCTTGTACCCAACACAATTCACGTGATGTGATTGCGACTGACCGGTATTCAGCTTCGGTAGATGAACAAGCAACAGAACGTTGTTTCTTAGAGCTCCAAGCAATCGGATTGCGACCAAGAAAGACGATAAATGCACTTGTAGATGTGCGATCATCCTTGTTTCCAGCCCAATCAGCATCAGAATAGGCATGAAGTGTTAGAGGAGAGTTACTGGACAAAAACAAACCATGTTCAGATGTACTGCCCAAGTAGCGAAGAACTCGTTTCACGGCTGTCCAATGATTTGTAGTAGGCTGATTTGCAAATTGAGCAAGTTTATTCACAGCATATGCAATGTCTGGACGGGTGAGCATTAAGTACTGTAGGCTGCCGACAATTGTGCGATATTCTTTGGCATCACCAAGATGAGAGCTATCACTAATAGATAGGGTATTGCCGGTGGATAGAGGTGTCTTGACAGCCTTGGCGCCGACCATATTTGCACGATCTAGGAGCTCCATAATATATTTTTTCTGAGAAAGAAATACACCATTTTTGCTTCTTGTCACCTCCACACCCAAAAAGAAATTTAGATTACCCAAGTCTTTGATAGAGAATTGTGCGCCAATCTTCTTTACAAATGTCTCAATTGACGGTGAGTGATTCCCTGTAATGATCAAGTCATCCACATAAACAATTAAGTAGATGATAATTCCTTCATGGGCAAAGATAAATAGACAAGTATCTGACGCGGAGTTGATGAAGCCAAGTGAAAATAAACATCGTTGCAATTCTGAGAACCACGCCCGTGGGGCTTGTTTTAGACCATAGATTGCCTTATTCAACTTGCAGACATGGTCGGGGAATTGTTCGTCAATAAATCCAGGTGGTTGAGACATATAAACATCTTCGTTCAGAAAACCGTGAAGAAACGCATTATTAACATCCAATTGCCGAAGAGGCCAGTTGCGAGAGACCGCAATAGAAAGAATGACTCTGACTGTTGTATGCTTAGCTACAGGCGAGAATGTCTCGTCATAGTCTAGGACTGGTCGTTGATGGAATCCTTTCGCAACAAGACGAGCTTTGTATCGGCTAATTGTCCCATCAGAGTTGTATTTTATCCTGAAAACCCACTTACAACCAACAACATTAGAGGAAATATTACCAGGAACTAGGGACCATGTATTCTGATTTTTCAATGCAACAATTTCTTCTTTCATGGCTGCACGCCAATGGGGATCTTTAAGAGCACTAATGACAGATTTTGGCTCTCGAGGCTTGATATCAGTTTTTGATA